AGAAGAGAGACTTGGGCAGTGATACTGGACCTTCATTCCAACATTGTTGTATTATTTATTGTTTGAATTTATAAAGAGGAGAGGGAGATAAGATGCAAGGGAGTTGAGCGAAGAAGAAGAGCTTTGACATTGGTTCTTGCTGGTGTACATTGTCCTTTCCAATCTTTTCTACTTCTTCTTCTTCTTCTTATCCTCTCCATCCTCTCAAGTTCATTCATTTCCTTTTGCAGTTGGTGAACAGTGTGCTGATTGGTGAATTTGTACTTCACAATTGGTCCGGGTCATAACAGTAGTGAAAATCATAGAACTGCGAATAAGAAAAATTCCGAAAAGAAATACCGAGTATTCGGACTTACTCTGATGAGAGCATTCGCAGTTTGGAAAATGGTACTGCAAGAGGGATTTCCCGTACCGCTTTGAAAAAAACGGGTTTCGGAAAAAAAAATTCCGAACTTCCAAATAACGGGAAATTGCAAAAGGAAAATCGGAATTAAAAAAAAAAAGAAGATATTCCAGATTTTCCAACAACGAAATTTCGAATTTTCAGAAGGAAAACGAAAACGGAAATTTCAGATGTTGCGCTATTGCGATTTTCCAATAGCGAGAAAACAAAATCCAATAAAAGAAGAAAAAAAATGATTTTTGGCAGTGAGGTCAAAATCGTGATTTTGCGGGCTAACTAGTGCGCTCTAATCAATCAATCAAGACTAATCGGCTACCTTGTCCCCACACACGTGTCCGATCGGGTTGTCCTGATTCACGTGCGGTGTTCCGATAGCAACTGTTACATGCCCGGTTGGGTGATGTACATAATAAACCGAGGATCCGCAATGTGATAAAAAGGACTGAATGAACAATGCAGTGCAAGTGAAATCTCAACAAGCAGTGTACATTCTGATACATACAAAAATGGTGCTTTATAGCGCAGTGGAAGACTTCGATACAAGTCCTGACCTGACCGGGACTGACCTCTATTACGTACTGTAAGATAGCGCAGCAGAATGCTAGAATACCAATGACTATCCCAATCAATGTTGCAATGCAGACCAAACGTACATCATCCTCATCACAAGATGTGAAGGGACCTGGCGCTACACACAGGAAGAATGCGCCAGGTCCAGATCATGCATAGACGAAGAGGAGGGCAACAGACGAAGAAGAGGGGGAGAGATGGGAATGTTGTCAACACCAAGTCTTTGTTACAAGTCCCAAATAATCCCTCGTCAAAATGTCTGAAGCCCAAATGTCGAGTCTGGATCCAAATGTCACAAAGCTCTCTCTTTCTCTCGTAGTCTGCTGATGCAGTGAAGTCAGGTAGCGAGAGGGTGAGAGGGAGATGGTGGACTGAGAAGAGGAAGAAGAAGAACTCTCTCTCTCTCTCATATGTCAGGTACTAACCTGTGAAGATGGCGCTGTGCTGCAGGTACCTCAAAGGCGAAGCTGGAGCTATGGCGCTGCAGGTAAGTATCCTTGGCCTCCGCCCAATCTCTCTCTCTCTAGTACTACTCTAGCTCCTATGGCGCCCAGCGCTGAAGACTACTGCTAACGCTACTAGCGCCCAGCGCTGAAGACTACTGCTAGCGCTATAACTACTCCTGCAGCGCTCCTCCAGAGTGCTGCTGCCGAATCCCGAAGACTACCTCCTGCCTCCTGAACTGCACGTGAAGTGCCTGGGAAGTACCTAGGAGCTACCTGCCTGCCTGCAGGGCGGGCCAGTCCTATATAGTGCTGGCCCGTCCAGGAGACTGCTCTTGCCAATGCCAAAACGTGCCAGACCCTGGCGTTGAAGCTCAACCAGGGGTTGTCTTGAAAACAGGCCCGAAATGGCCTGTGCTAAAACCCTGGTTTGTTGCCTGAGTTTCAGGGCGGGTTGAACCGACGAGGGCCTGAAAATGGCCCTCAGTTTCAGAATGAAAAATCTCAGGGCCGGAAAGGCCCTGATTTAGCCTGAAACGACACAGGGCCTGTAGGCCCTACGTTTTCAGGTTTTCAGGCTGAAACTACAAGGGGCCTGTACGTCCTTATTTTCAGGCTTTTGGCCTGAAAACGTCACGGGCCTGAAAGGGGGCCCGTGCAGCCTGTTGCAGGCGCAGCATGTAGCACCTTACCTGTGTCGACCCCGAGAGTTGATACCGTGACCTGTGTATTCGCAACAGTTGGTAGGCTGCCGTAGGTCCGAAGGTTGTCGGGGTTCGATCTGTCGACCTGTCGGATAGAGGTCTTACTGAGTTCTGGAAGTCGTAGCTGCAGCTCTTCTGAAAGGCCAAGTTCGTAGCTGCTACAGTCCTGAGAGGTCAAGGTCGTAGCTGCTACAGTGTTCGAAAGGCCAAGCCCACAGACTTCCGGAAGGTCCGGAAGTGGCCTTTCGAAGTTGTCTCAYGTTTGGACAGAGGCAAGTGGGCAAGTGGTGAGCCCAACTGCGTTACGTTGGCAGTGCGACTGCATCGAGTTGGCAGTGCAAACCCATGCAGTCAGCGGTACCGGTCCCAGTCAGTCACAGTCCAGTCAAGCAAGTACCGTGTGGGAC